TTGGCGATCACATAATTATCGATCAATTTTAAGCGTCTCTTAATAAGAAATTAATGTAAAACTCATATAAAAATGATGCTAAATGTTCAGAAGCGCAGACTGTTTCAATTGTGAAATAAACGAATAAAAAAGTTTAATAAAAGGACGTGGTACGACATCCTTCGAAATTATAATTTCATAATGACCATCACATACTGCATTCAAGATAATATTTAAAACTCACTGATAATAAATACGGCTTTTGAGCCTCATTGCGACCAAGAAATCACGCTACTTGCAACCTTAGCTTTTAGATTTAAAGCTATAGTATACGACAACGCAACCAACGATTATAAGCGTCAAAGCAACCCCCGCTAAGATAATTCTTTGCTGAAGGTTTCTAAATATCATTCCAGACAGTAACCGGGAACCTCGTCCTAGCTCTGCATCTGTTTCACGCAACTAAAACAATGAAAAATGTAATAACAATTAATACTTAAATATAATATAATAATAATTTCACCTTCATAAAAAACATAGTAAAATTATTAAATTAAAATCAATAACTTACCCTTCCTCTTCCCCTTTGAATTGTTTCCCTTTGGTTATGTAATTCCATCAACACTTGAGAACCAATTTCTTCCGTTTCTAGTACCATTCGATAACCATTCTGTAATGTCCTCCCACTTCGTTCTATTCGTTCCGAACTATCTAACAATCTTTTCTTCTGATCTTCCGTGATACTGCTATCCCAAGAATCTTCCCTGCTTATTTCAATAATATCTTCTTTTGGCTTTTTAGCCAATTGAAATTCTTGAGTCAATCGTTTTAGTTCTGCTCTATGACTTTTTACTTGACCACGTAATCGGTCACGAGATGCACTGTTCACCTCCCGAACCTCCAAGTCCATTTGCTCCAGCTAAAGTTTAAACATAGCAAAGTATCTATTTGACATCTAACTTCTCTTTAATGTGCAATGATATTCTTTACATAAACTGTGTAAAAACATAAGTGGCACTATTAAAATGATGTATACAACTGGTTTTTTAAACTCATTTAAATAACAAATGACATTAATCAACCTGACATGAAGACCTAAATGCATATGATCAAATTGCAAATAGAATGTTACATCTGAAGTCTTTTATATGTTATAAGATTATTACAGTGGTAGTTAAATGAAAAGAAGTGTTACTATACGAGTAATTCATTTTTTATAAACGTGACAATTAAGAAATTGAAAAAGTTTCTTTCTAACCCTCGAATATAAGTAACTTGTTAGTATATAATCATTAAAAATACTTGTTTGTTCAAACTACATAAAAACAGGAAAACTAAAACATATCTTTTCACTTACCAGCTCTTGAGCTTCCTCGATTTGCCTATCCACATCTTGAACGAAGGCTCTTTTCTCACCTGTAAATTACGTCACGTGTATCGATTATTGTTGTTTAATAATGCTAGAAGGCTGACATTGGCCTTAAAAATAATAATCGGTGGCATAAAGAAGAACGAATTCTACAGTCCTACTTTCGTTGTACTTACTGTCGCTTTGTGTACTTATTCTACCAATTTTTGCAGTAATGTCAGCTGTCAAAACAGCGTATTGTTGCTCATAGCTGTCAATGAGCGACGCCATCTTGAACGTATTTCCATTGAAGACAGGTAAATGGGAGTGTAAACTATATTGTAGAAGCAGTGGATTTGGAACAGCTGCGTTCTGAAATCAGCTGAGAACAATGGCAGCCATCCTAGACACAGAGTAAATTTGGAGAAGAGAAACTTCTATTGGAATCTTTCAAGATAGATCCCCCAAATCGGTGAGTCTCAGGAAATTACTGTAGGTAGCGTTATTAGTTCTTTAGAAATGTGTATTATGATTTTCCACCAAAATATTTGAGAGTAAAAGCGCGACACAGTAAATATGCTACACGTGGAATTATGACGTAATCTTTTCGTACCGATTTGCAATTAAATAATATTGTAATTAAACATTTTATTATGAGAAAAGGTGTATTTATGTTTTGTATATCATTTGAGCAATTTCTATTACTACAATACTCAAAAGTACTTATGTGGTAAGTAAGAGAAAAATTTGTGATTAATGAACACTGGTCTTTTCTTATACTTTAGTTTTATTGGATATATGTAAATTCTTCAATTTTAATATGTGCAAAATTGTTCAAACTTTGGTATTATTTATAGTTCATTTATAGTTCATGTATCATTTATTACTTTATAAATTTGAAAAATTGTAACTATGATCTGTTCTCATTTTCTTAGTTCGACCGTTTTATTCTTAGATGGCAGCTGAAGTTCATTTGATTGCAACGATTGCGTCCTCTATGTGAAAATACACTATCTATATAAGTAATATAGTTACATACTATTTAATTTGAATTAATATATTTAATGTATAAGTATTTAATCCTTTTGTTATCTTTTTTTGTTGATTTGTCTATTGTACAATTGAGCAGTTGCTAAAATCACATTCCTATTTCCTTCGATAACGAATGAGTATTATAAAATAATAAAAATGATCAATAATTATAACATTAATAATGTTTTTAAGTAAATAATATTATTTAGTAATTTTCTTTTGAAAATTAGCTAGTGTAGCTTCTACATGTACACATATTTCTGGTTCATTTAACAAACAGTTTTTCAAGATTATACAATATTCGATCAAATTCTTGATTTTCAATTGAAGGAAAAGAAGATATATTAGTTTCTTCTTCGATCGTTGGTTCTTCATCAATTGCCTCATTTTTCTTACATTCAGAATTCCATTGCGCCACCTCTTTAGGTGTAATACTTCATTGTATTGAAGTATCTGTAAAAAAGTATACAAACACTACCGAATTAAAATACAAAGCGGCGAAGAAGTTTATACCGAAATGAGTCTTTACATTTCGCGATAAAACTTTCTTGTATCGGTTGAATCAACAGTGACACCTGTGATGGTAAAACTATTAGTTTAAAATCTCCATCGTCTAGTTCCTCTGCATTTAATTTATGTCCTTTGGAATTGTCAACTAATAGCACCACTTTTCCTATCCGATGATGCTTCAAATGATGGCGCGTTACGCTCTGTTTAAAATCATTCTGATACCATTCGCGAAAAACGGCTTCATTCATCTGACCACATGTTGGACTTTGTACGTTAAAGGTAAAGAATGTTTAAAATGCTTCAAAGATAACCAATTTTTATATTTATTTATGAATAATTATGAAAGTTTATGCGTGCCGGTTGAATTTGCGCAAACCGCAACAGTCTCTCTATCCATTTTTTCTGTTCTCCTGTCTTCTCGTCCTTTTTCTCTGTGTATTAATATATTATGTGGAAGACATCTCCAATATAATCTAGATTCGTTCATATTGTACAAATTTTTTTCCTTAATATTATCTCCTTTTAATATGCAAACTAAATCGTGAACAAAACTGGTTATATTAGCCTTGTTTTTCTTTGTACTGTCGCCTTGAACTTTTGTTGAACGTATACCGTATTTGTTTTAAACTTAAATTTGTTTAAAACTCCACAACCATCCCTGACTTGCAGTGAAGTTGGAAGGTCCGCCGAATTCTTTGTCAAATTTTTTTGCCTTTTCTTACAAAACGCTGTCCGTTATCGAATCCGTTAATAATCTTGTTTGAACGAACCAACTGTATAAACGGTTGTCTATGTCTACGTATGTGGAAACGTGTTGCGTTTTCCCGTTTATGCTTTTTTCATTTTGTGAATATCGTATTATTGAATTCGCGTTCTACCGATATCGGAGAATAGTTCTTGCGGTCAGTCCACATTGCCGAGCAAGTTTATTCGGCCTAATACCGGCATCCAATTTTTGCACAATTTTCACACGCTTTCCTATAGTGACGCTTTTTTTTATTGAACTAGACGTCATCTTTACGCTGAAGAAAGTTAATATCGTTTGAACTACTAATTTCAAGAATATTGTTCTTACAGCCGTGGAAAATCTTAAGAATTGGTTTGATATTACTCTTATAGAAATTGATCTTAAGATAAGTATCTTCCTAAAAAGCATATATCCTTGAGCGTTCATTTATTTTTCATAAATATATACATACATATATATAAGTATACAATTTCTTACATTTAATTTCTTACGTATAAATATACAAATAGGTCTTCTGAGATTTTTAATATGGTAATTATGCTATTAAGAAATAGGAAACTCTCCGAATTACCAAAAATGCATTTAAAAATCTGATATTTTCTCTTTATGAATAATCAAGGAATAGATAAATTGATAAGTAAATACAGCGATGCCGCATAAATTTCACAAAACTCAGGTGCCAGTAGTGAAATTCTTGCGCAGGATACAGTTCTTTCTAAGATTTGACTGGAGCACAGCTCGGCGAAAGGCAACTGAAAAAAGATAAACATACAGCATTCTTACTCCCGAACCATGTGGAGTCAAGATAATTGGAGAGTAGCAACAGTTAAAACAATTAATAATTTATCGGACTTTACCTCCCCGGATAATGTTCGTGATAAAGTCTCAGACCACAGAACACTAAAGGAGCACCATTGTGTACAATAAAGTAGATTTTGCCTGAGTTTATGAATAGAATGTAGAGAGTGAACTCAAATGCTAAATAGTGTACGATGGTGATAGACATTTGTCCCTATACAATTCAATAAAAATTCATGCATACGTAAATTATATATTTATTAAATAAACTTACTAATCTACATAATTTTATTGAAATATATTGTATCTTCTAAATCTTTTATTTTTTATTAACAACAGTCGATAATTTGTCATTCATGTTATTATATGCGAAACATGGTAAGTAGTTACATAATAATTAAGCAGTTAATCGTGTCAGCTTTTGAAAATTGATCTAATAATTAAATACATTTTAGTTCCTCAAATTTTAATACAAAATAAATGGTCTGCAAGATATTCCCTATGCCGATGTGTGATAAGAACTTCCTCAAATTATATATTCATTTAACTTAATTATTTAATTTACACTATAAGGACTTTCATCTTTTCTAACTTTCGAATCAAATGAAGAATATTTTTCCTTTAAAGCTTTTAGTGTTTATTAAGATATTTACAGTCGAATGATATGAAAATATTAAAAATATGTAGCAGTTTTTATTTACAAATTAAGTTTTTATCTATTATGTTTTTATTCGTTATACTGACGCTTTATCGCGATAACGCCATATTCTTATATGACACGTCCGCAAAAACGAATGAGCATTTTCTCCGAATAGCGTTACCATATGTTCCTTCATATAAGATTATGGAACTACTGTTTTTTTCGAGTGATTTCTCTGTTATGTTAAATATTATAAAATAGTCAAAACCTTTAAGAAGAAGCGCAGAGAGATAAAATAAATTACCGGTGAAAAAGAGAATCTTCGAAATGTGGCCACAAAATTGACACGTCATTGATAATACACCAATCGAAAGAGGAAATCAAACGGTTCCACCAATCATTTCTACTGGTTGCAGTGTCGATCGTGGTCAATCTACTTTCGACTCGACAGTCGAAATGAAGATGGCCGCCGAGGTGAGGTGGCTTTTAATTTTTCATGTGTTTTTGGTGATTGCTTCGGTCTTTGGTGAAATACCTCATCGGAAATTTGAATATAAGTATTCCTTCAAGCCACCGTATCTCGCACAAAAAGATGGCAGCGTGCCTTTTTGGGAATACGGAGGAAGTAAGTATTAATGAAACCTAACCAAGTACACACACGCCATAAAACACTTCCGTATGTTATTTTCTCGCAGTCGGCTTTTCGATTATTTAAATAAAATACTTTATCAATTCATTTTTAAACACAAACCCTAATCAGACCCTTTCCTTTTGACCACTTTAACGAGTGAAATGGACAATGTTTATTTGACAGAAGTCTGTAAAACTGTCACGACAGGTGTACATGTTTTTATTTACATCGTGAACTACTTTAATTAATCTAATTAATGGAAAGACTGAATTTAATTATTTCACTTTCTTTTGTAAATGAATTAAACTCTCTTTTTATCGAATAACTTAATATTTTCCTAACAGTATATCTAAATTTTCTATTATTTCGATCGCTATTTTTAATTCCCATTATATTTTACATTATAATTATAAATTTATTTCGGATATTCAGTAGAACATATATTTTTATTGCAGATGCAATTGCAAGTGCAGAAAATGTTAGAGTAGCACCATCATTGAGAAGTCAAAAAGGTATGTGAAATCATTGAAGGTAATTTCTTTAATATTATTTACTTTATGTATTAATTACTATATTTACAGTTAGTATATATTATGTAATATAATAATAATAAGAGATATTTGATAGAAATAAAATACTTTGAGATACACATATGGTCTTTTATATGTAAAATTTAGGGTTAATAAATTAATCATATGAAAGTATAATGTAGTGTGTTTTCTATATTTTTATGTTAAAGATTACACGTTTTTTATGTTTTTCTATGTTTTTTACTTTTCATTGCATGTAAATTTCAAATCATATTTAGGTGCAATATGGATCAAACAACCAGTTACCTTTGATTGGTGGGAGATAGAGTTGATATTTAGAGTAACAGGAAGGGGAAGGATTGGTGCGGATGGTTTAGCATTTTGGTATACTAGTTCAAAGGGTACTTATAATGGCACTGTTTTTGGTAGTGCTGATCAATGGAATGGTCTTGGTATCTTCTTTGATTCATTTGATAATGACAATAAACATAATAACCCTTACATCATGGCTGTTCTCAATGATGGCACAAAAACTTTCGATCATACTAGGTGAACATCTCTTGATATTTTCATATTCTATGTTATGTAAAATATATTATAAATGACCGTTTATTCGCATTCACTTTGGTGCAGTGATGGTACAACGCAATTGTCGGCTGGTTGTTTGAGAGATTTCCGTAACAAACCATTTGCTACTAGAGCAAAAATTGAATACTATCAAAACATTTTAACAGTAAGTTCATTTGTATGTTATTTTCTATAAGAATAATGTATTTACAGTATCATATTTTAATCTCCATATCTGGTAAAAGGTACTGTTTCACAATGGTATGACGAATAACGAGCAAGACTATGAGGTGTGTTTCCGTGTTGAAAATGTTGTTCTACCTAAAGGTGGATACTTTGGGGTTTCTGCTGCTACTGGTATTTATCATGGAAAAAAATTAAATTTATAGTCATTCTAATTACCTTAATCATTTACGATATAATATGTTATTCAAAAGGTGGTTTGGCGGATGACCATGATGTTTCTCATTTCTTAACACATTCTCTTTATCCTCCTGGCCAATTGAGACATGATGGGCAAAAGGTTTCTTTAGAAGAACAACAGAAACTTAGTCAGGAATATATGGATTATCAGAAAAAATTAGAACAACAGAAAGAGGAGTATCGCCGGTGAGACAGGGCAACTTTGCAATTTCTGTTTTAATAAAATCTTTTTGTCTAAAGTAATATTCCTTAATAGAGATCATCCAGAAATGCGCCGTGAGAGAGAGGAATTTGAGGAATATTTTGAAACTGACAATCAAAGAGAATTAATACAAATCTTTGCTGGTCAGAACCATATGTCTGAGACGTTACGTGAACTCAGTAAAAAATTGGATGAAATACTTGGAAGACAAGAAAGATCTTTGAGTTTAATATCTCAACTACAGTTAGGAGGTAATTATGGAAAATATATTATAGGAGTATAGGTACATGTTTGAAAGTAGAAAGGATTTTGTTGGTATGTATGAATAACTTGTTTGTAGGTATACAAGGCACTGGTGGCCAACCAGGACAACCAATTCAGTTAATTGATACAATTCGTCGACAAGAAGTTGATACTATAATAGGGAATCAAAATGTTATACTCAATACAGCTCAGGAAATCAAATCTTTCATGGGTGAAGTATATTCCAAGACTGATACCATCCTTAATAATCAAGCTCGTGCACCAACTGCACAAGTATTTATTTATTTATTACATGGTTTCATCAGTCTTTTCCTGAATGCATTCTACCAACAAGTTTTATTCTTAGGTACAACAAATGGGATATAATTATGATTCTATCATCTCTGAAATACGAGATGGACTTAACACATTAAAGAAGGAAATTGGGCAAGTTAACTCTAAAGGTTGTTCAGACTGTCCTACAACAAATTGTTTAACAACAACAATGTTCTTATTATTTGTGGCAATTCAAATGGTGATTTTATTAGCATACAGCATGTACCGGTAAATATTGACTCTTTAATGTTTATATAAAATACTGTATTAAATAAACAGTATTACATTTTATTTCCTATTTTTATATAGGGACAATAAGGAAGCACAGGCGAAGAAGTTGTATTAATGTTTGTTTTTGATCATACACTAAAAAAATATTGATGAGAACTTCTACGTTTGCGTACTGACTCAATGTTTGTATCCGTGGAATATGCATTTTGTTGAACATTTGTATAATAAATGCATCCTTCATCCGAGTTAGACCTAACAGAACAGCAGAGAGCAATAATTACTCTCTACACGCGGTAAACGTAATCACTTCACTCTGCTTGGTATAATTTAGTCGACTCATTATATTTTTTTTCACTGCAAGACATTTTTTTGTCAGTACGAGTTACGAACTAACAGAGACAAAGATGACAAATTATGAACTAGAGATTAAAAAACAAATCGGAAAATATTATGAATATTGGAATAAGGTATCCTTTGTCATGAGTTACTTAGGGGGATTGTTGTGTATAATATATATTTTTTTATCGTCTTTCATCAAGAATAACTCGCGCTACGCGCACATGCATTTTTTGCGAATTTCATTTATGATACCTATCACTTTTTTTTATGTAGAAATTTTTTTGTAGCATTACA